AAAAAAAATTGCGATCATGGTCTCTAGCTTAGCTTGCTCTGGCTTTGCAGTACTTAGCTAAATGAATGGTAATAGCAAATGACTGCAGTATAATTACACTTAAAGAAAATGTATTTACTGAGAATACAAACTGATTCATATCTGATCATAATTGAAAATATTTATGACTATTTTTGATTCAGCTCTGTAGATATTTAGGAAAATTAACTGTGCTTCGCATGACTTCTACATGCTCTAACAACCGGCACAAAAATGAGTTGGTTTTCATGAACTCTCCGATTGAATCGTTGCTTCAGTGGTAAGGAATGAATGAATGAATGGTAAGGAGTGCAAAAAGACAGGAGGTAGTTGGATAATGCCTTTCACTGAGCTGTCTTCGTTTGCTTGTCAAAAGTGAAACATAAACAATGCGAACGTCTCTTTCCCCTGTTCATATGCAAATACGGAGTGAATGAATAAATGTGTGAAGTGATGGGTTAGTAATGGGTGAGTAAAGTGATGGGAATTTTATGTCATATTTATACACAGAAAAAAGCATAGAAGAAAGTTATAGTGAATGCGATTTTGTTTTACACGGTGTATACTTTAGAACATTTGACATTCAAATTGTTTGCCGCTTCATTTATGCATGAATTGGATGGGAAGCATTCATGCATGTTTTTGATCTAAACATGAATGATTTTATATGTCCACTTTTGAAATGGATCTAATGATGAAAGTGAAGTCAAAATTCATAGCTAAAATAATTTCACCCCCAAGTACTGGTTTGGATTAGAAGCCAAGTGAGATTTCGAATAGTGTGCTTTGAATTATACATAATTACATGATTGCTACTGCTTCGCATTGTTGTTCCTTCCGACAGCTCTCAAATGGCCACTCAATGATTTAAGGGGCTGACCGCCCTTCAAATTAAGGCTAATCTTATTAATGTTATTATCCTCAACCGCAACATTTCTAGTCATAAATTTATTTCATTCTCAGTAGTTCATTTGACACCTTTGGTATTTAAAAATGACATTTATATCAAACATCCAAGTTTCTTGCTCATGAAGTGTTTGAAATTATATTCATATCTGTTAATGACATTGCATCTACCTTCATTTTTTGACTTTCTTTAGATGACTAAATCGAATTCAAGTTAGAACACGCGAAAGTATATAATTTTATATAGTGATATATAATTTGATAGTGCACTTTTTTGTTTTCTCTTATACATGGTAGGATTTTAGCTGAGTTTGATATTTGTTTTCATGATTTCGAATGAAATGCAATTTGGAAACAATCTAAATCTTACCTCTGGAATGACATTCTGATTCTGAATCTTTGGATCTTTCTCCTTAATTTACTCATATCAGTTAACTTTAACTTAATCTTATTCTCCATCATTCGCAGTTTTTTAATAAAATTTCGGATTTTATTTTAGACATCTTACTGTAGTAAAATATATATTCACCGGTTATAATATTTTATAAATTTGATTTTTAAATGATGCAACGAAAGTAAAAACAAAAAGGACGAAGGCATGAAATTACAAAAGTTGCTGGGCAGATAATTTAGTGCACTTTTTGTTGACTAACTATAGAAATAAAATGAAACTTTGATGTAGATTATAACTGAGTTACGCTAAAATTAGTAATGTTCTTCAAATAAATTTTATGATTTCTCAAAAGCATTGCAGAGGGAAATTTTCAACAGCGTCAAACGTGGCATCGACATCAAATCTCCGAGAGTCTCAGCTGGAAACTAGCGTGCCATGGAAGAAGATTCGATATGACACTGACAAAGGCTTTGATTTAATAAACCACTCAACGAACAAATATATAGATAGAAAGCGATTAAAACCGTTTTGCAACTGGAGAACTGTTGCGATATTGTCATTTCTGTCTTTAATTTTCACTTGCCTTATTATACTTTTATGTAAGCTTTAGTTTTGTTATTTTTGCTAGTTAGGAAGATAATTTAGTTAGTCTCATTGTTTTTTAAATCTAGAGTGATCTGTTTTTTTTCACATAAAATTGGGCAACCCAAAATTTAAACGAGTCAATCCTATTGAACATTCTTCAGATTACTCAGATAATTTGAGCACCTGAGAATAGTTACAATAGGTTGATATTGAACTGTTATGTTGGGCGCTTGATTCAATAACATCTGTAGTGAACTTTAAATAAAAGTATGATTCATATTTTTCATTAGATTTTAATCATTTTAGAAATTTTAAAGTCAAATTTCCTACTTTGTAAACTTCTACTGTAGAAAAAATATCTGACTGATAATTAGTTTTTTAGTTTGGAAAAAGACTATCAAAAATTCCATTTTTTATTTCAATGTTATTTCCCACTTTTTCAGTGTTACTAGAAAGTGATCATTCTCGAGAAGCGTGTGAGCAGGCAACTCGATCTGTTTATTCATCGGCTTCTGCATCAGGTTTATTTCACTTAGATGCACGACGCGATGTACATATGGATGGTACAATTTTACGTCCTTTACCTGAAAGTTTTGAATTAGGTCAGCAAATTGATGCGGATTTGCCACCGGGAATTATTGTGTACTCGTAAGTTTCTAATACATTTTTATTCACTGATTCTTAGATTTGAAGCATAGCATTTATGTGCATTAACAAAATGCTATGTTTCAAATCTATCTTTAAATATAAATCACATTTTCATTGATTCATTTTGTTAAAGTTTAACAAAATAAAATTTTCACAATCACTCAATGAATGCTTCATTTGCAGCTTGTAATTTAAGCGAAAATAAAATTGTTACGTTTTTGTCAGTTGTTTTTATCTTTATTAAAAAATACAATCAGATTTTTTTTGCAGACACTTTTCGGTGCAGCAAGACAGTCATGTCATGTTTAATATATCGGTGGATTCACAAGCTCAACTTGTCATTTATGGTCGAAGAACTGCATTCCCGTCACCGACAACGCACGATTTCATGGACATCATTCATGCTGATTTACTGCTTCCTTCCTTAAATTCTTCAAGTAGTCGGTCAAAACGTTTCACACCGGTACGGTAGTTTAATTTTCAATTGTAGTTGAGTTCAAAGTTGGAAATCATCAAAAAATTTTTGCTTTGATTTGTTTAAAATACGAATTGATGCAGTAAAGCTCATAAATATGCCATCAAAAACTTGCACAAAGTAGTTAGCAAACATCGGAAAAAAGCGACAAAATCATTAATTAGATAACTTAATCATTTATAATTTAGGTGAGAAAGCTTGCTTCTAGAAGCAGACTTAGTTGAATTCCGAGTATTTATTTGGCTTGTCGAGGATTGAGTTTGCCGATGCAAATCTTTGAATTAATCGTTTTGAGAGTTTAATCACTGAATGATTATAGTTTTTTTATCTCTTCACTCTTTGATCTCGTGTTGGTGCGTTGTAAAGATGAAACGGTTGCTTATAGTAGGACTTTTTCCGCGATCACTTTGAAAATTTCTTCTGCAACTGCTCGCAAAGTTGGGAGCAAACAGAAAAACATGTGTAATTATCGTATGTTGCAGCTGCTTCGAACAGCAATTGTGATACACTATTTGTTCAGTGGACGATGGCATATAGGATTACTGAACGATGTATCTCAGGTACTGTTGTCATGATTATTAAACGACATCATAGAAAGGGAAATTAACACATTCTCATTATTCAAATCTATCACTTGTAGAATGACTATTATTCAAAAACTTTTTGCATGGCAAGCAGCTGTTTGAAGAGAAATATTTAGGAGTTTAATCTAGTTTAAGATCATTATGTAAAGTGATCAAAAAAGAAAATAATGCAATATTATTCACTCACGACTGAGTAGACAGAAAAAGTAACAATTTGCATAATTCATAGCAATAATTATGTGAAAAAATGAATTATAAATTGATAATGACTTTTTACGTAAGAAGGATATTGCAAAAAACTGAAAAGACTTCAGTTCAAATGCAAAATAAAAATTAAATTAAAAGTTTCTCATTAATTAATTGGTTTAGATTCTTTGAAACAGAGACTGATTGCAGTCGCTTGCTTTTATGGTTGCAGTTGTTTTCCTTTCCAGCCATTTCCGATACGTGTGGTTGCGACAGTAATTGCAGATCAGATGGTTAATGAGGACATGGATGAATGTCGGTATGAGTGTACAGGTCATGGTCACTGCAAAGACGGCAAATGTTTCTGCTTCCCTGGATATACGGGCACATACTGCGAGGAAAGTAAGACATCATTCACTCATAGTGTTGATCGATGCAACGCTTGCATGAAATTTGCTAATTAATTAACTAGGCTTAATTTCGCAGATTTAGACGATGTTTAAAGTACTCAATATAAACCATAAAAATGTTTCAACTTTCACATTTAGCAGTCAGTTAAAGGTCTCTTCATTGCTATTTCCAATGTCTTTTGCTTTTATTGAAGTGCCTCGAAATGTATTTTTAACAAATCTTAAATAAGAAAATCACCTTATTACATGTAAACAATATTATGACAAGACAAATTAAGAAGTAATATTGTTAAACCATTTATTACAAAAATCGATGTAATGAATTTCAAATTCAATAAATGGATTAGCTTATTTCAGATAGTTCTTTGTCAGTTGTGCAGTAATTTGGTTTAGATTGATATCATCGATATTATATATAACATTCGAAGTTACGGCAAAATATTTATAAAATTGCTTAAAATCTGTGTATAGAAAAAATTGCTTATAATACAAGTGTTTTTTTGCAATCTTTGCGAATTGCAATGAATATAAATTGTACTTCAAACGCATGTTTCAGATTCGTGTCCAGTACTGTGCAATGGAAATGGTATATTTTCGGGAGGTCAGTGTATATGCCATGAAGGTTATAAAGGGTCCGACTGTGATCTCTTGATCCATTGGTGTGAAGTACCAAATTGTAATGCTCATGGACAATGTAATCAGTTAGGAAAGTGTGAGTGTGATTCAGGCTGGACGGGGGACTTCTGCGATAAAGTATTCACTTTATTATTTCTTGATATAATTAATTAATTAGTTTTTGATGACATTACAAAACTAAAAATAATTTTAACTTGATTTGTTTCCCTAGAAAAAAACATAAGTTTTCAAGTAAATTTTATCAATGAACTTAAACTTTTTAATTTTTCTTCATGTTAATTATTTTTTGATAAGCACGAGCAGATGTTGCTTAAATGACAATCGAGAAATTGTGCGATGGAGAATTTGGCTAGTTAGCAGTCTAGTTAATTAGTTAATTTCAATAGGAGAGTGAATAATCATCTAATTTTAAATAATTGTGCGGTAAATTTCAGAAAGATTGTGTGGATCCTCAATGCGGTGGCCATGGTATTTGCTACAACGAGAAATGTTATTGTGAAGAAGGCTATGGAGGAGAAAGATGTGAGCAATCATATTGGAGCAAAAGTTGCGGAGATTATGAAACTAAAACCAAGACAAATTCAATCGGTGATTCTGTTTGCGGCAGTCGTGGAAAGTTCAATTCAGAATCTGACCGATGTATTTGCATTCCTGGGTTTCATGGAAAGCGCTGTGAATTGGGTGCTTATTAGTCTTTTAAAAATGAACTTTGAATGCTAGTGTTCAGTCAAATATATGGTGCATTTGCAGAACGGTGTGACGTAGAATGTCACCATGGTTCTTGTGGCAATGGTATTTGCGTATGTGATGAAGGTTGGACAGGTATGGATTGCAGCGAGAGACAATGTTTGCCGGGTTGTGAGTTACATGGTCACTGCAACAATGGTACCTGCATTTGCACCAAAGGCTGGAATGGAGCAAATTGCTATATTGGTTAGTTTTTGCACTCTTCATTGAATTCTTGACAAAAATCACTGCATTTAGTTTTTGGCAAAATTAAGATAATTTTAGGCTTTTGAAAGCATTCTGTTTGAAGTTTGTGAGCCATGACATAATTATAATCATAGTAATCACTATTGAAGATGCACTTTTCGAAATCACTACTGTTTTGAAATTTGTAGCAATATTTATTATCTTACGATAGTAATTATAGCTAAGATTAATTTCACCTATCAAGAACTGTTATATTGAGTTTTACTATTAGTGTGTAATTACTGATTCGCCAAAATGCGCAAAAATTTTTCTCGAAGTTTTAAATCGAAAAAGCTAAATATCATAGTTTTGTGAATCAGCAAAGTACTGTTAAATTTTAGCAGAACAATGACAACAACAAGCAGAAAATATGAGTTTCTCATTTCAGCTGGTTGTGTTAATGACTGTAATGGTAACGGCGCGTGTGAACTGTTTTCCGGCGAATGGAAATGTGCTTGTTATACATCTTATTTTGGTGCAAATTGTTCCCTGCCTGTGGAGTCAAATTGTGAAGATGGCATAGATAATGATAATGGTAAGAAATCTTTATAACTAGTATCAACACACAAAGACTTTTTTGACCTTAATGATAGTTCTAAAAGAATTGCTTAACAGTCTTATAAAGCACTGATTAATCAATTAATTGTAATGCAAAATTTTTTTGAATGAACAATTTTAGATGGTTTGATAGATTGTGAAGACTCGGAATGCTGTACTGACAGAAGTTGTTCATCCAGTCAGATGTGTGCGACCGTTGTGCAACCGCGAGATGTGCTTCTGAAAGTTATACCAGCTCTGAATGCTAATTTCTATCAGGTCAGTAAAGAAACTATATATATATTAAATAAGCAAATCGGAGTAAATCATCTTTTCTGCGTTATATATAAAGAGAGTGGAGAAAAGAATGGTGTTATTAAACTTATCCAAAATCATTTTTTGATGTTATTTCATTTTTTCAGCAAATTAAGTTTTTAATTCAACAAGATTCAGTGCAGCGATACGCAGATGAACGCCATTTTAATCAAAAGTGACTCTTTCATTTTTAAGCGCTCTAATTTGTAATTTGCCACCGTGAAATACTTGGTCTTGAAAAGTCTTTTCCGAGTTTAGTTTGTTAAGGGGAAATTAAAATTATATGGAATTACTTTTACTGTTGTTACTAATATACTGCTGTCTCAAAATTCTTTCACTTCCTCCTGACGAATAAAAAAAATTACTGGATATGACAAGTTTGACTTGGAGTATTTATTGACAACTAATCCGCCATGCATATACCTAATTTAGTTTATACATGGTGGATTACTGGTGAGAGTGAAAAGATTTTTCTATTCACTGATTAATTTACTCACTGTAGTTCTGAAAATTTGAGAAAATTCATGAGCATTTTGAAATTTTTGAATTTCGAAAAGCAGTGGATTTATGTCGCCTTACTTCTGTGTATTACAGTTTCGTATCAGTTGTACGTGGGCGTGTCCTGGCTGAAGACGGCTCTCCGCTTACAGGCGTACGTGTCGCTGAAGCACGTCACCCACCTTTGGGTTTTACGTTAAGTCGTAGTGAGGATAACGGTGGTGCTTTTGATCTGGTAGTAAACGGTGGTAAGACTGTAACATTGCAGTTTATGAGAAAGCCGTTTGAAAAACTTGAAAAGAACTTTTACATCCCATGGAATGAAATCGTTTACGTGGGTGACGTGAGAATGCGTTTAACACCAATGGTGGGTAAATTTTGGGCCAAAATTTATGAAATTGAATAACTTCTAAGAAATTTCTTGTTGAAGTTCTAGTTTGCTTGATAATTGTGATAAAATGACACTATATATATCATACAATTATATAGGGAATTTTCATGGTACTATATGCTCAGTGATGTATGAACTGCTCTTAAGCCTAAGCTGTCTTACTTAATTATCTTATAATTAATTATTCTGCCCTTTGTTTTTGAGGACATTTTTACATTTTAAAACAGCATTATTATCACCTCTTGAAATCATTACGTCTTGTAGCACATTTGGCATTTTCATCATGAAAATAATCTTGAAAGGGTCGTTTGATGTTGAGTTCTCTCATTATTTCCACTCAAGTTAAAGGTAAAGGTCAAAGGTTTTCCTCACATAATTACGGGATATTTCAGGCACTTGCGGTTCATAAAATACTGTAGTAGTGTACTGAATTCCTCCTCATTTGTAGGAAAATCATAGTAAAGAAAATTTATTGGCAAAGATTACATGTCGTTTGAAATATTATGAAGTTTATTTTTTATTAACAGTTTTCAAATATTACGTTCATATTCAAAAATTCTCTTTCAAAAAATTGAAAAGTAGATTGCATTTGGTCATTATTATAATTCAGGTAATATTCTGAGAAACAATACCTGCAAGAAAATTCCCTTTAATCCATTCTTTAGTTTCAAAACAGTTATGATAACAAATGAAGAGTTCATTCTGTTACTTCAATAATGATCATTGTAATAGTGGTACAAAAAGTAAAAGTTTTTGCGGTACAGTAGACATGAATAAATGCTAAGTTGTTTTACCTCTTGAAGGTCACGAATTCAAGTCAAAGACTGGAAATAGATGAGAAATGTCGCAAACATTTTGTTAGCAACTCTTTGATCCCTTCTTTATTTCCGTCGTGGCGTATAAGCCAATATTCTGGAAGACTTACATCTTCACCTCGCAGTGTCCAGCTACTCGCTGATTCTGGGAAAGCCTTCGATTCAATCCAGGTACACAAATACGTCCAGGCTTCAGTAACGGTTTCACAAGAAATTGAAATCTTAATACAATTTTGGTAGTTTCTTATGCCTATGATTCTTGATGACTGACTTTTTTGTTTTAGTTCTGCAGGTGTATGAAATTTTAAACTAAAAAATGGAGCATGACATCTGAACTAAAAATTTATCGAAATTGTATTAAGCAATTAGTCAAAAGATCAATAAATAAGCCTTTTGCGATATTTTTTATTAACAGAAAGTTCATATCAATTCGTCATCCATTAGGTAATTAGTTGGCATTCAATTCTTAAGTAAAACATAATAATTGTCCCCTTTTCAGATCCCTGGCACAAATGAGGTATACTTAATATACGATAGTTCATTTGCCGAAGGTTACCGCAGTACTTTGTTAATTGAATTACTTCCAAGCGAAGTACCTGAGAAACTGCGTCTAGTCCATTTGTCTATCAATATCGCTGGAAATCATTTCCGATCCGTTTTTTCGGCTGAACCAAATTTAATATATACTTACTCGTGGCGACAAACTAATGTTTATACGCAAACCATGAATGGCTTACTCAATGCTAAAGGTAAAGTAATCTTGGAAAAGGAATCTCAAAGCTTTTCAACCATGTCAAAATAATCCTTGATGATCACATTACTTGTAGTGTCGGTTGGCTATGAATATGAAGGCTGTAATGATTCCGTTAATTGGATTCATCGCCTTGTGAAGTTGGAAGGTCATCGAGCAAACCGATTCTTATTGGGAGGCTGGTCATTAAGCATTCACCATCACTACGATGCCATTCATAGTAATCATGATCTTTTGATAATTTCTATAATTAAGTTTAATCCATGATCAATACGTTCATGCATTTAAACTGTTGATATTATGACCAGCAGTTCGAAGTTAATCCTCTTTTCTATGTTTTTGATTCTCGCGCTGGATCGTACTTCGGTATTGTCGTTGTACTTGCCGGCACTAAGTAAGTTCTCCTAATTCGGGTACACTATTCGACTGCTTTTTCACATCATTCACGAAGCTTTTTTTCAACAACTCATCTGTTTTCCATTTGTTTTCATTGATCTCAATATCGTTTTTTTTCGCTTATCCTCTCCTGTTTTATAATACGATTCGACTAGCTGGCAACTCAACCGCAGGGCAACTCGGCAGAAGGAACAATATTTTAAATTGCTAATTATATTTATTTATCTATCAGCAATTAAGTGTCGATTTATTAATTTAATGCTAGTTCCAAACAGTGTAAAAATATCCTTGTCAGGCAGGAAGACTTCTGAATGATGTTCTTAATTGTATTTTAGATATCTTGGAAAAGGGCGATGGGAATAAAATATATTTAAATGAACTTGCTCCATTGTTAACAACAGTGGTTGGAGGTGAACAGCAACGTCCTGTGAACTGTCCTTTTTGTAATTCACCTGTGGGGTAATTTTTTCGTCCTACAATTTTTAATTTCATTGAAAACAAGTCTGTAGTATGTTTAAATGAACTTCCTAAAATGATGAAAAATAATTGTTGCAATCAAAGTTTTTACCGTTAATGAAAGAGCATTTCATGTTTCTTGTACGCTTCAGAAAAATATGCTATATTGTTGATAGTAATTATGTAATTGTTTTTTCCGTATTTTTTAAAAAATTTTATCCTTTTCAACTTTCGTTTATTGCAGTGATGCTAGGCTTTTTCGACCGGATTCACTGTGCATTGGAAGTGATGGTTCTTTATATATTGGGGATTATAATTTGATCCGTCGTTTAACTCCTGACGGAATGCTTATTACTTTATTAGAGCTGAGGTTCTTTCTTATTTTTCTACACGCAAGTTACTTTTCGCTTACATTACTGAAGAAAGCTGATTAAATCATGAAATTTTTTTGTGCAGTTTGTAATTTTGAGCCAGAATTACGGCCATATTTTACTGCAACCGAAAGTTAATTGTTTATTTTTGCAGTATATCGGATACAGCACATGCATATTATTTAGCTGTCGACCCTGTCACTGATTCGCTTTTTATCTCCTTACCTATTCGGGTTCAGATCTGGCAGATAAACAAGGAAGTTGATAGCACTACAGATCTAACAACTAACTATGTTGTTGTCGTCGGTGACGGAAGTGTCTGTGCCAATTACGCCATGGAATGCGGTGATGGCGCAATGGGGGAATTATCACAGTTGACCTTTCCTAAAGGCATCGCTTTTGATCAACAGGGAAATTTATACATTGCGGACAATAGACGAATAAGGTTTGAATAGCATCAGTAACTTGTTACGTATATTCTTATCTTGCATGTTATGTTATTCTAGAACTTCAAATTATAAAATAATGTGCAGGGTTGTTGATCGAGAACGACGTATAAGCACAATGATTGCGGAACGTTCATATTCACCGCGTTCTTGCGTCGCAGTTTACGTAGATTTGTCAAATATTACCCTTGTAAGTTGTAATTTTATCTTTTGATCTTTCAAATATTCGTAGTCGCTTTCTTTAGTTTGTCATTCATTTCTTTCCTCTATCAGATTGTCTTATAAACTGAAATTTGAATCTTATTTGTTTTTTCATCTATTTTTAAAAATGCTCTTCGACATGAATTATATGGTGAATTTAAGTTCTGGCCGACTGCACTTGCTGTGGATACAATGAACAATGTATTATATATATTAGATACCACAGCAATATACCGTGTTTCGTTAACAACTGGTACGGCTACGTTGATAGCAGGAATAATTACGGAGTGTGACCATATGAAAACGTTAACAGGGGAAACGTTATCACAACGATCATTGGGAGAGGCACGAGCTATTGCTGCTGCATCAGATTCTACTTTATATGTTGTTGAAACTAATAACAAAAAGATTAATCAGGTGTCCAGAATTATTCCACAATTTTCATAGCTAAAATCATGCAAGGAAATTTTTTATGAAATTGAAATTTTCAAAATAACGTCTCTAATGTAAGAAAACTTTACTTTGCAAAAATAGATATAGTGCTCTAATACTGTATGCACTAAACTAGTAGTAAACTATTAGGCCATTGCTTCATCACATTATTGGTAATAAACTAATGACGGCTATGGAAATCATAAAAGTATTGTGTTATGCAAGTTCTGGAAATTACAAATTGAAAAATAGTAAAAATTATATTTTGTTTATAGATAAGAGCTATTTATCCTGATAATCATTCAAAAGTTATTGCTGGAAAACCAAGTAAATGTGATTGCGATCGTACAAACTGTCCTTGTGATGATGCTCATGAAACTGTTGCTACTTCAGCTTTTCTTCATTCTCCTTCAGCTGTGGCGGTTAGTCCAGATGGAACTGTGTACGTTGCTGATCAGGTCATATTTTTATGATAATATTTGCATGAATCTTGGATCTTACAAATTTATAGATTGTAAATTGTTTCGTATCGTAGAAAAGTAAAATCCGACCATTGGTAAGCATCCATTTCCTGTTGAAAATTCAGTTCATTTCATGATTGAAATAAGTTGGAATATATCGCATGTAACCCCAAATTTTTTAAAAGACTGTTTATTCAAATCATTTTTTTGTTTGAATAATGTACATTATGAGGAAATGCATTTTATGTGAGATGTCAGATTAAATTATTCTGTAGTAAATTTGTTCTATCTACACAATTATTTAAGACTATTACTTAAGACCAAAGTTACAGGGAAATTTCAAAATCAAAAAGATTCAGAAAATTACTGCAACTTATGATGAATCAAGTCAGCAGTATCGCATTTATAGTCCGCATACCAACGAAATTTATAGCTTCAATAAAGTCGGTCTTCATGTGACTACTTTCAATTTACTCTCCGCAGAAATCATATTCAATTTTATATACGACGTTGACACTCAGTAAGTTGATGTTTTTTTTAAACAACTCAAAAAAATGTAGATTTTTTATATTTGCATTTTCCCCTCTTCTCATGACAATTTTTTTACTGGTTGCAGTCTTGCTCGTTTGACAACTGTAGTTGGTGCTGGTGGACATGACTTACATATCCGTCGAAAAAATGATGCTGAAGTTGTTATCGAGACATCTTCTGGTCATCAAACATTATTGAATTTTGATGTATTTGATTCGGCACTGACTAAAATGACATTTCCTAATGGAGGTAATTTTTGTTTTTTTTTAAATGAAGTAAATAAAGTTCATTTTATCCAACATTTTTTGACATATACTTCATAGTTCTTAATTCCTGCGTAGGAATTCTGAAAATTAATTTATAGCTTAAAAAATTTATTCTAAATATATGTGAATTAAAGTAGCAGAAGAAATTGATTTTGGTTGAATTTAGAAAGTATCAAATTCTCATATTTTCCTGGCCTTCTCCTTCACTGTAAAGAAATATTCCATCGAAATTGGTGCTTTGAATACGATAAGTTCGGGCGCGCGAAATCGTTGTTAAATCCGGCTGGAATTTCTCATTCGGTGCTAAAACGAAGTCTAAAACATAATAAATTAGTAATTGATGTGGAAAAGGATGAACAACCTTTCACAGTTTATGAATACTCGGCGAAAAGATTTACGGAAGATGGTAAGGGAATAAGCATCAAAGATTATAGTGCTGAAACAAGAAGCAGAAATGAGTAATAAATGTTGTTTCACTTTTCATGACTTAACGGAAAAAATTAATGTACAATTTGAAAAACTCGTTTTATTAATTGTATTAAGGCGCACAAAACAGGCAGGTTACATTACTTGATGAAGGATTAGTAATTGATGCAGTTGGGGCACGTACGCAGTTTGATGGAGTTCCGCATCCGCTTCTTGAACCACATGCTGTAGCAATTTTGAAACGAAAAATTAGCATCCCAGAAAGTATCCATCCACCTAGACGTGAGCTAAATTTGCGCTTCGAGTGGCGTGGCTATATTCGTCGCAAAGAATCTGTGCGACGTGATCCAGATAAATTGCGTCGTGTTCAACAGGTCGGAAGGAGACCGAGGGTATGAGTTAGGGTGTGCAATGAATACTTCATGCTCTACTCATACATCGAGTGTCTTTATCTCATTAACCATTCTAATTTTATAAAACAGCAAAAAGTTTTGACTACTGGCATGATAACAATGCTTTCTTATTTAGCAGAAATTTTGCTTCTTGTGTGCATGTTGGAGCTAAAAGTACAAAACTAATTCATTTCGTTTCGGATCAAAAATTTGCATATTTCTGTTAATCGCTGTCGTAGCTGAACTTTTACTTTAAAAAATTGTCACATTTATTCAAAAAAGGCAGTAAACTAAAATTACTTGTGAGTGTAGTGCATTTTAGAGCTAAGAAATGAGATCATTTGGCTTTGTTATTTGCTAAAAGATTTTTGCTGATTTTTGCTCAACTGCATGAAGTTTGTCGAAATATTAATTAGGTTGATTTTATAAGATTTCAGATCAACGGACGAAATGTATTTACTGTCGAATATGATCGTGAAAAAAAGCAAGATACTATTCGTAATAGCATGGATGAAGAGATACTTAGCGTTCATTACAACGATGCTGGTCAAATAATTTCCATTATTCCACGATCTGCGCAAGATAAAGCCTATTTAGGTGCCTTGAAAATAATGCATGATTCTTCCGGTAGAACAAGTCAGTTAATTTGGACTACTTCTTCAATCATTTTCGAATATGATCGACTAAATCGAATTATTTTTACTGCTGCAATGGCTAAAGGAACCAGTTATCTGCAACGGTGTGATTTAAATCTAATACTTTTGTTGAATCCATTAATAACAAGTGTTGGTGGGCATTTGAATTCAGCAGTATTTTTTATATGTGTAACTGGATAAGAAAGTGGTGCATCAACAATGATAAAAATAAGCAGAAAAAGTGAACTTTCATTTAAAATATAGAAAAATTTCAAATGAAATGAAAATTCACGTTTTTACTTAACTTTTGTTCCCAAATGCTTCATAATTTCATACCATTCGAAAGTGCATCCATCTCACGTTTACCAATTCTAATGATTTTTGCAGGAAATTTGCATATCAAAAAGAAAGTCAAATACTTCCATCCTCCATACAAATGCCCTCGGGAGAAAAATATCATTGGCATATAGGTCGATCAGGTAGCATCAAAATGTTAGAAACTCCCTCTGGTGGCAGGAATCATTTCATGCAGCTTGCAATTCTTGATCGTGTTTGTCGTCAACGCAACTTTCCTCTTTTGAACGCATCGTACGTGGCTTGTATGAATGATGATGAGCAACTGTTGGATTATCAAACTCCTGATGGATTGCACTTTTTAAGCATTAAACGCGATAAATTTGGAAAAATTTTGCAGATTAGCGCAGATGCAGAAAATATTTTTTTAGAATATGGACAGAATTCTGGAACTGATCAGGTTCGCCTATTAAAATAATTTCCCATGATCAATAATTCACGCTTTAAAAAGACTGTTGATTATGAATATTACTCTGTGCTGTGATTATGAACTCCAGAAATTTGAAAGTCTCTCATATTCGCTGTCTTTAATTCTAACAATTGAAAGTTAGAATTTGCCAGTGCTGTTTTTATAAACGGAGCTTGTATAAACGAAATTTGATTTGAATGACAACGAAGAGTCTCATATTGTTTGAGCATTGTTCTTACTGTTTAAAAACTTTTAATCCAGACCAAAAACTGTTGTAAATGTAAACAATTCAGGTTCAAGAAATCAGCAGTGATTTCATGAGGAGAGTGTATTATTGGCAAGGTATAATACCTTTAGTCATTCAAGAATCACACATGGCTATCACTTATTCAAATCGGTAGTTATTAATCAAATTCAAGTATAGAATTTTAAAAAGATGAGTAAAAATGATTTCAGTTGAGTAGCTATAGTCATTAAATTTTTCGATGAGTTACTTTGCAGTCGTTTCCCAGAGAGCTTGATAAAGTTCTCATACGAGTGGGATGATATGTTCAGATTGACATCTGTGTCAGTTATTCTTAATTCTGTGCCTGTGCAACCACAAAAATATCAGTATGATTCTCGACATGGTCGATTAACGAAGCTAAATAACTTCGTTTTTTTATTTGACATTTACACACGGCGAATAATGGACGATACGGTAAGTTCTTTTAGAAATCCATTATTGCAAATGCACTTTGTATTGCTGTATAATTTATCCATTAAACAAAAATCTGGTAGTTTACGATCAGAATGAATTCAATGCTTACTTTAGATGATTTGGGAGATTTTTCACAATGATGCAAATGAAGAAATTTTGCGAAAATTGATAGTTAACAAATTAAAAGTCGTGGAGATGAGTGTAAATCGCCATGCTATTGGTTGGACTGAATCTGTTGACTGGACTGTTATGGGAGAGAAACGACCTCTGGAAAAGCGAATCTTCAACAGTAATGGACAGGTGTCGTTGCATATTTCACTTACAGTTGGAACATTTGCTATTCTTTATTGAAATATGATAATGCTTTCATATTTTAATAAAGAGTAGCAAAATATAATCTTCTTACAGTTGATGCAGTATACAATAGATGAGACAGAAGATCGCCGTTGGACACTTCACTATGACTTAGATGGACGACTCAAAGCAATCAACAATGTCAAAATTTTGTCTTCCGCAGAAAATATAAAAAACTCCGATCAGGTACAAAACATAATTTGAAATAAAACCAACAATTACAGTACAAATAATTGCGTTTGTCATACTAAACTGGATAATCTGGAAATCAAGTTTGCTTTTTTAAGATAAATTATGCAGTAAACGCGAACGGTTGGATTCAACGACGAGGTGAGATGTATTTTGATTATGATGTTTGGGGTCGAGTACATCGTGCTTATCAAGCTGGAGTTATCAAAGTCGAATATGGCTATGATGAGCAGTCACGGATAATTTGGCGACGTGATGATAGCGAGCAGTTTCAGCGTTTCTTTTACGCACTTCCTGATCGACCGCATCTTTTAACACACTTTATTTCGTATCTTTCTTTTCATTGAATGAATTAATGCTTGCTAATTTAATGATACTCATGATTAGAAGTGAATATTCTGCAGTGATTTTATCTTATTTGATAATCACTGTTCAAATAATTATATTGATTTTGTTGAAGCTTTCTTACGGATGAGATGTTTTGATTAAGACAATATCATTTGTATGCTTTTCTAAACTTTCATTTAATAATTCGCAACATGTTTATTCGTTGCTATTAAATATAAATTACTGCAAAAATTTCTTACGGCTGTGATGGCAATTCTGCTATAGAAAGCAGTAAATAATATTTCAGAGCGGACGAACAGATGATATCTACTATTTTGTACGATGATGAAGATATTCCATTCACACTGCATAGAAATGGCGAGTATTATGCAATATTTGTGGATATCGATGGATCTGTGCGCTTTATTTTTGCATCTGATGGTGTTTTGGCGAAAGAAATTGTTCGTGATCCACTTGGAAGAACAGTTATGAGCACCAATGATTCATTTTATTTTCCTCTTGGTTATCGACATCATTTCGATGATCCCATTACTGGAATTGTCATATTTAGTGAAGAAGCACGGCCTTATGATACTTTCATTGGCCGTTTTATGTCTGTTTCTATTTCATACGTCACTTCTGAAGTGGACATTTTTGCTCCTGAATATGAAAGTGACCCTTTTCGAACAATACCAACGCGGGCGAATTCAATGCGGCATTTCCCTCTCGGTAATGATTAGGCTTATTTAAATACACTTTTCTAACCTTTTCTCTATGAACATTTTGATTTGTGTCGACAAATTAGTCTGTGCAACGTGACCAAATATTTTAGACATCAGTTATTGCTTACGATTATAGAATATTTCGGTTGAAAGTAAAAATAGCATCCTTAATTGAATGTTGGTCAGGTAGAATAATATCATTGTTAATGTCAGGCTTATATAACAGAATTTTAGCACACCGGATATGTATCAAAAATAAATAATAATTATCAATGATTCATGAAATTAAACAATATTTATCATAGAATTGGAAAGATGGATGGAAATGAGTGGATTTTCGCTAGCTCATACGCTTCCTTCCTTCCATGATTCCATTCAGAATCACTGTTTACAAACGTTACTTCAGTTACCGGACAGCCTTTGTATGATCAACTCCAATCATATTTTCTCTTCGTCGTTTTGTTCCTTGATTAATAAAGTAAAGCATTTCAAGCAGTTTCTAACTGCTACTCCGCCGATGCTTCTACCTACATCTCATCTACCATATTTCGTCCTTTTCGACAGACTGTCATACAGTTTCACTGACTCAGTTGGCTTTAAAGGGCTTATATTCAAGAAGCGTCAAGCTCATAAAGTATATCTGAAATTATTGTTTGATATCAACGAAACAGTCTAACGAAGAATATTCGTTATAGTTTACTGCACAAAATACTCTTTCAGAATATAATTTCAAAATTACATTCCTCTCTTATATAGATAGCACCACTTCCAATTAGAGCTTTTCCTAATAATTGAATGCAGTTGCCAGGAATGAGATCATATTAACGCCTATTATTATTATTCACTTATTACAATTTTGGCATTTTAGAAGGTTTTTTTGCTTCCTTTTTAATATGCTGATGCTAAAGCAATGAAATTTTTCAAAAAATGTGGGCAACACATGTCTTTGTGATGATCATAGAAGTTTTTTATCAGAATTTGTTATCAAAAAACTGAAATTTGCATCGTTTTGAGCTGTCGAAATTTTTCCTGAGAACGATTGAACTTCTTAATTGTTGCGAATTTTAGCTCTGAACTCTTAAGAAATCACATTGAAAGAAAGATGCGATTTCGTTGAAGGTTTTAACAATAAATGTTTCAGTATGATGTGATCGGACATTCATCGGAGGATGATGAAAAGTTAAGTGCTCTAAAGAGTTTACTTAATGAAAGTTCATTTCTCGATCTTGTAGAAATAAATCGGTCCGGACATGCGCAGGTAATCATCATAACTAGTCATTTATGTACTATTAACAAATGTCGTTGTATTTTGTTTGAAACTTGATAATAGTTGCTCCAGTTCAATCTGCCGCTTATGATATTTAATTCCAGACTCATTTTGTGACCACTCTCTCTTTGGATGAAATCCCTATTAAAAAACTAGAAGGGCTTTTTAATGTTTCGAGTGTGGACCAACGCACAGTGCTACAAGCGGGTAATACTCAGTTCATATTCCACCACAGTGATGACATGGTACGTTTTTAAGTTAACTTTAACATTAATCCTCATCTTTTTGTGGAAATTATTATCATTTTACCTGGATTTGGCACCAAATTTCATTTCGGTGTATGTGACAGTTACTCATGCATTCTTATTTTTCAGGTGAATATAAAATCTGAGTTATCATGGCAACAAAAGCAACAAATTGAAAAGCTTGTTTGGAATGATGAAGCAGAGCATTCACGTTATTTTCTTTCCACACGGCATATTTGGACTGAATCTGAACTATCACAACTGAGGTCGGAAGGTCACGTACAGGAATACGAACTGAAATTTCGCCCTGGTCGCTCAATACCAATCCGTGCTAATACTTATTTATGGGTATTCCATAGGAAATCTGCCTGAATTTATTTTGCATTTTGTACTACAGTCGTTGCAGAACCATTTTCATTGTTCTTTGGTTTAAGTTTTTTTTTTCATAATCTCAGTGACTAAGACAATTGAAAAATAAGATGCGTAAATATTGCAATGAAATATATTCTTCCATCCTTGTAGATTAATGCTCACATCTGTAATAAATTTTCTCAGGCCTTTCCTTTCCTATATCTTTCATATATTCCACTATTTTTTGGATTCATAGAGTTGCAGTGCTTCAAAGTATTTTAGAAGTATTGTTCGTTGTTATGGTTTATAGTTCTTAGCGATTTACTATGTGAAGTTTGTAAAGAACGAAATTTCTTACCTAGTGTTCTATTGATTGTTTGCTCATTATTCTCCTGGCTTTATTATTAATTGTCATCTTTTCAGCCTCAAAAATTCCCTATTCTCGTGCAATATAGAATGAGAGATGGGAACTGTTATTGGTATAACAGTATTTTTTACTTTTGGGATTATATTTGCATTTCTAGAGTTAGTCGAAGCATTTCCAAGACTGCCTTCATATTTCTGTGCATGTATCTGTAAAATGTAAAGTGTGAAGTAAGTTGCATTAATTGTTAGCACTCAGTTCTTGTTTCTGATTGCACAATATGCTTTTGGAAAAAAGCAATGATAGTGAAAAGTTTAAGCGTTTTGTCTTTGTACGGATGCAATGTGCTTACCGCACTCTATCATTTTTCTGTTACTACTATAAATCCAGCGTTTTAAAGGTTTATCTCTCGAGTTTTTCCTTTTTTCCATCACCTGAGCCTTTAGAGCAAAAGATGCAATGCTAGTGAAAAAAGTATATTCCTCTTTTGTGCGAAAATCTAAAAATAATTCGGAATCTGGGATGTTATCTGCATCAGCACGCTCTCTTAAAATATTATTTCATAAAATTTTCATCAATAAAGTCAGAATTCGATTCTTTCGTATGCAAAGTTCGATTACTTGCTGACCTGACTGCAGTTATAGAGAGATTATAAAACACAGCTACTGTTTTTCAATATTATTTATCGCTTTTCCCATCAAGAGGTGGTTAGTTTCTAGTTAAAATCAAAATCACGCACATGAGATTTGGATGCGAGATGGGGGTCGTTAGTTATATATTCGCGAGGTCTTTTAATTAAAGGAGCTCTTAGCTGATTTCATTATCTATCAGTGAAAGCACGCATGCCAACGTTCAAAACTGGCTGACTAGAAATAATAATTCAATACGTGAAGAATAAGAAGTGTGATTTTTGAAGAAACGAATGGCATCAAATTTGACCTTTAAAAAATATGGCCCAAAATCAGTGGAGGTGCAAGATTGGTTTGTTGGACTCATAACGAAGGCAACTGTTGAGGTAGTAAGGCTTCATTTTTGTTGCTTCTGTCATATATGAAATCCTATCTTTTGCAAAACATTTCGTAAATTTGATTAGAGCAAACATCGCAGGCTACATAGAAAAAGCGTTCAGACACATTAACTACTCTCCAGTTATAGAGAGGTCAGTTGTACGGAATCGAGATCGAGAAGGTCAGAGATCTCGATTTGTGACTTCGTTCCATTGCGCTCTTTCAATAATAAATTCACGAATTATTCTGACTGAGAAAAAGACTCAATTTTCGTTTCGATTGTTATAATTCACTTTTATTATCCTAGTGTATAATTCACTTTTGATTATCCTACAACTACCAATTATTTGCCTTTCAAAATTTCTTCCTATTTCTTTCAAATATTTTCTCGAGTTTTAATGGGAAAAGCATGGAGATTTCAATTCTGGTACTTATGAGGATGTCTTCAGTTATCTAAGGACTTAATACACCGCTAGATATATAACACGCTTCAATCACTTGCAAAATATAGCTCATCAATCCATTCGTAATACAATCTGCACGCACTATCGCCAACTGCAACTATTCAAATGCAAAATTAATTTTATGAAACAAAATATTCAAACTTAACTTTTTAGAGTCAAAATGTGGTTAATAACCACATTGTCTATATTAATGACTTGGTTTTTGCTCATTAATACACTGCATGACTATTCACCTTCAAGTACGATTTAGCACAGTAAAAACATATTTTAGCATTGTTAAGCTGCCTTTTAAAAACCAATCTCATGCCAACAGACAATAAGTTTTTGTGTTTTATGAAGAGCACTTTGCATCTTATTGACAATTATATTCATAGCGTTACTTAAACAAAGAGGGAGAATATTTGGTACGTACAGAAGAAAAAGACGGTGGCTTAGAATTTGCTGTATCCTTGAAAAGCGACAATGCTATAGTCCATTTACCAATAATATATGAAGATGGAAAAGGATGGGCAATTGAGATCAAACCCGAAGCAAGTTTACGTGTTGATCCATTTCTCAGACACTCAAGATATAAACTTCAGCTAAAATTCATGATGAAAAGTTTATAATCTAAATTATTCATATAGCTTTCAGACTATTAAATTTTAATACGTTAAAAGTTTCCGTACCTTTACGACCTTTATTTCATCTCATCTCAGTTTCTGATCAGTGTTGATACATATTTGTTTCTAATTAATATTTATTTTAACTGTAGATTGACTGATAAAAGTGTCTTCAAATTATTAACTTTCACAAAGATTCTAAACAAAACTGAATTGCGATCTCAGTAAACCGCAGTTACCTTGTCTTCTCAGTAAGTATACAAAGTTATTTCAGAAGGCGTTCAATACAGTAGTGGAATTAATCGAATATTACCAAGAAAACGAGCTTCCAGGAAATTATGGATTTCTGCAATATCCATTTAAAAAACCAGATTGGTAAGCACAACTTTACAAAATGCTAATTCAAAGTAAAATAATATTCCAAATAAATTTGGTAACGAAGTGATTATTAGATGTTTTAACAGTAAATAAAAGTTGTGTAATTCTGCAAACTTGCAATACAGTAATAAAATTAGTTGTCATTAAGATAGCAATAGTTTTGTAGTCGTTGAGTATTTAGTTTCTAGCAAAGTAGCAAATACTTAAAATAAAAGTAGACTGAGTATACTGCAGAAGCCAAAAAGAAAAGTCAGCAATACAGTAATGCATGTTTTTTTGCCCGTTGTTAGTTAGTATACAGTTATTTGTAGTAATAGTTCCTGAACTGAACTTCTCATCAACTATTCAAGCCTGAGCAGTTTGAAGGAAATTTTATTGTTTAGCTTTTAACAGATGTTGGAGAACATACTCAAGTGCTTTACCTACTTTTAAAGTAAAAAATTTGGATTCAGAGAGAAGTCGATATGTAAAAATTGTGAACTAAAGCAATAGACAACCAAAAAACTCACAGCATTCAAACTGAATGTTTGCCATTGAAAACACTTTTCTTAGGAAAAGTGAAGAAAGTCTCTGTAGCAACTAACTGAAAACTAATAACCATTGAGATTCAATATTTAAAAATTGAAGTATAGAATTTCAAAACGAATGTTGTATACACAACTTAAGAATATTTTCGAAGTACAAGAAAAGTTAATTGTAAACGCAAACGTACGTACATTGTAATTGTAAAGGTTTATAAGACACGAAAATATTTCTTACGATACCGAGGCAGGCTTCATAGGAGCTGGGAATTTCTGTGATGTTTATGAAGGGAAACTATATGACAAAATACCAGTAGCTATAAAAGTATGTCATGGACCGAACGGTACGTGGCATTATTGCACTTAGCTTCCAATAAGTACTTCACTTGTTAACATATATTTTTACTTTACATTAATTTCTCCAGAACTTTTTAAAAAGTATTTAATTTTCAAACAGAAATTTAGGACGAAAATTGAGCAATCTATACAGCTCAGTCGATGTTATCCACTTTTGCAACCTTAAATGATAAACCTAAATAAAAGGGGCAAATCAAATCATCCAAACTAGAATAATCAAGTGCTGACATATGCTCATGTGATTCAAGCTCAAGTAACTTCTCATATTTTTCAGCTGAAAGCAGAAGCCAGGAAAATGAGGAAAAAATTAAAAATACAAAAGAATCGCTTATACGTGAAGCTTGCTTAATGGCACACTTTAATCATCCCAACATAATAAAAGTGGAAATATTGAATAAATGAAAGCTATCTTAAAATTTACTACTTTTAACATAATAATTATTAGCATCAGATATTGACCTCATCTTTTAAAATATCAGTAGCGAAGTCATCGGTAGTAATATAAGAATGCAGCAGTATCAGAGTGAAACTTTGTAGTTTCATGGTGTATGTTGTGAGGTGGCTCCGATATGTATCGTGATGGAATACTGTACGGGTGGGTCGTTACGCAATCACCTCCAAGAATGGGCTGGTAAGATTGTAGTGGGAGAACGAATTTTGTACTGTGCACAAGCAGCAAAAGGAATGTGCTATTTGCAAGAAAAGTTTGTCGACTCAATTATATTGATTGAAAAACCAACTTAGAAATAACAAGCAAGAATTTGAACTGAATTGACAAAAGTTTCTCTCTTCTCCATTTTTATAGAAACTTGATACATCGCGATCTGGCATCTCGAAATTGTTTGATTAGCAAATATGGCATTATCAAAATTGCGGACTTTGGACTCAGCCAACTTGTCTCAGATTTTACTGGAAACATCAAGAATCAGGAAGTACATTTTTCTGTAAAATTTCAAGCTCCATTTAATAACTACAAGTTGCTAAACTCTTTTTTGAAATCCTAAAGCTATTTCAAAGTTTCATTGCAGTAAATTGCATTTTCAATTATGCTCTCAGCAACGTATGCATGCATATTCTTTACTTGTTAGCCACAGCCACAATGTAAGGATAGAAAAAGTCAGCGATTTTTGGGAGTATGATTTGGAACTTGGGAATGAAAAAGAATGAGAAATCGAGCACAAAGAATATCTGGAAGAACTCAGTCCAGATCCTGAAGTGTATAACACTTTCTCATCTGAAGCGAATTTGTGGAGGCAGTTTCTTATTCACCCAATTAAAAGGCGGCAGGGCCTAATGGAGTCCAGAACTTCTGTACTGAGAAATGCACTTCGTGGATCCAGACCTGTACAGACCGGACAAATAGTGAACGGATTTGCTTAGCTGGGGAAGAACAGGATCCGTCGTTTTACAAAT